GAGGGGGATACAAGAGGGTGTGGACAGTCTGGGGAATGGGCCCGAATGTGGCAGATAGAATATCATGTGGATGAAGGTTATTCACTTTGAGGAAGGATGTGCGGGGAGGCAGATTGTTTCTGAAAGGGAGAGAGGGGTTGGGAAGTGTGGGTTCCAAAGGGATCAGAGTGTCTGTGTCCCTGAGACATCGAGGGGGAGCGTGTAGGGGCGCGAGGGGAGGGGGACATCGGTCTTTATCACTGGGGGAGCTGAGCAGAGCGGTGTTGGTGTCCTGTCACAGTCTTACACAGCCTCAGGGAGAGCTCCATCTGTGATATTGTGGGCAGCTCCTGTCTCCTTATCGAATGGAGGATGGGTCTGAGGGGGAGGATAGCAGAGGGTCCCCAGATTAATCCCTGGGATGGTGGGATTGTCCTATCGGGAGAGATTGAGGAGACTGAGTCTGTCTTCCTCGGGGCAGGGGGGAGTTATGAAGAACAGGACCAGGGACGGTGACCTCAGGATGAGGAGCAGGCCATTCAGTACAGAGATGGGGTGGAATTACTTCACTCCGAGGGTGGGAAATGTCTGGAATTCTCTCCCCCTGGGAATTCTGGGAGCTCAGTCATTGGGCAGGCCAAAGACAGAGATCAGTAGGTTTCTGGAGATTCACAATATTGAAGGACATGGAGATAGTGGGGGAAATGGCATTGAGGGGATGACCAGCTGTGATCTAGAATGACAGGGTATCTCGAGGGGCTGAATGGCCCACTCCTGCTCATCTTCCCCATCAGTAACTCTCACTATCCCAGTTTCTCTCTCTTTCTCGCTCTGTTTGGCTGTGTGTTCCTGTGCCCATGCCCCTCTCTCTCTCTGTCTTTCTCCCTTTGCTCTCTAACCCCTCTCTGTCCTTCTCTGTGTCTGTTGTGCTTTATTTGCCTGTCTTCTCCCTCCCTCTCTCTGCTATCCTTTTTTTTCTGTCGCTCTTTCTCTTCCTCTCTCTTCCTCTTTCACTCTCTGTTCCCCTCTGCCTTTCCTTTGTTCTTTCTCTTTCCTTCTGCTGTTGTCCACCTTTTGCTTTCTGTGTGTGTCCTTTGCACTCGCCCCCTATGTGCCTCCTTTTGGCTCCCATCCCCCCCCCCCCCCCCCCATGGCGCTCGAACTCCCCGCCCCACCATGCCTCCCCATGGCACTCGACTCCCCCCCCTTGGCTCTCTCTCTCTCTCTCTGTGCCTCCCCTTGGCATGCAGATGCTGAGTGAGCTGATGTTTCTGCATGGCTGGGTGCAGCTGTTTGCAGAAAGTGGATTGTGAGAGACAAAGCCTCATCCACCAAGGCACTGCAGGAGAGAGAGACACAGAGAAATGCAGTTGAAACCAATGAATCCGTCACTCCATTTGCTGTCCCTCTCTCACTGTGTCTCCCTCACTGTCTTTGTGTCTCACTCACTGTCTCCATTGCCCTACTCTCACCCCAGTTTCTGCCTGCTTCCCTCACTCCCACACCCCCTGTTTGCTGTGTGGAGCTTTTGCACTGAATCACAGAGACATGACCCTCCTAGCATTTACCCACACACATGCACATACAGACCGGCCTAGGACAGGGAGAGAGACAGGCGCTCTCTCTCTCTCTCTCTCTCTCTCTCTCGCTGTCTCTCTCTCTCTCCCTCCCTCCCCCCCAGGGTACAATTAATAGAAAAAGGTATGTGTACACACATATGGAGTTCAACAGCTAGACAGACACGAGCTAACACACACGCTGACCAGAATACACGCACAGAGTTCAATAGGACAAAAACAGAAGTTGCTGGAAAAGCTCAGCAGGTCTGGCAGCATCTGTGAAGAGAAATCACAGTCAACTGATCAGAAAAGAGGAAGGGTCACTGAACCTGAAACAGAAACTCTGATCTCTCTCCACAGATGCTGCCAGACCTGCTGAGCTTTTCCAGCAACTTCTGTTTTTGTCTCTGATTTACAGCAGCCGCAGTTCTTTTGGGTTTTACAGAGTTGAAATGGATAGACACAGGCACAGGCGCGCACTTGAATAGGGACAGACACAAGGTGAATCTTCTTGTCAAGCCTGGCTCTTTATTTCAAAGTCTCACTCTCAAGCAGACGGACGATTGTTCACTGAGTTGGGGGGTGCGGGATATACTCAATCCCACGGTCACAAACACACACATGCACACACGCGCGCACACACACACACACATACACACACAACCCCCTCAGACCAGACTGCAGTGTCAGCACAAAACAGCACCAGGTCACCGTGACCCAGGGTGAGCGGTGCATAAACAGGGCAGAGGGCAGGATAGGGCGAATAGGACAGACACAGCAAGGTGCCCTGCACTGGGCCCACTCCTGGGAATGAGATTGGGGTCACTGCCGAAGTGAGGACAGCGTTAATGGGGACCCGACAGCGATTGGAGCCACGGGTGAGATACGGTAGAACATCAGAGAGGGCCTTACTCCATCTCCCAGGACGGGGACAGCACAGGGTTAGATACACGGCGCTATCCCCCTTCTCCCTTGCCAGGAGGCCCTGGGCCTACTGGTCAATTAACCCCACGAAGCCTAGAGAGCCTGGTGAGGGTGAAAGGGTTGGGAACAGCAAGTGAAGTCTGAGGCAATTGCCAAATGGAGGAAAAAAAAACGCATCTTTCCCAGGCCTACAAAATGGCTGCCATTTGGCCCAACTCCAGGTTAAAGGATAACGGCCTAACTATAAATAGAACTTGCTGACAAGGTTTCCTCTCTAAACCTAAATTGCATGCAAGAGGATGTGGGATTTGTACACGTTCCTACAGACATTGGGGGTTTTCTCTCACACCCATCAGCTCTGTTGCCCATAGCGACAGGGCCCAGGGCTTTAGGAGGCATCACTAGGCTTCTTCTTCCTCTGGAAGCGACGGAACTGGCCTTGGATGGCCAGGGCTGCTTTCTCCGTCTCAGGTGCAGTCAGGTCAATGTCGATCTCCTCTTCGACCTTAGTGCCAGGAGCCTGGGCCTTCTCTGTGAGAGTGGAGAGAGAGAGAGAGAGAGAGAGAGAGATTGGGGTTGGGGTGGGGGTGGGAGTGGGGGCAGAGGTGGTGGAAGGTCAGAGTTCGGATCTCAGGGCCCCTCGCACAGGGGCAAGTTCTTCCACGAAAAAAAATCCTCCCAACCTTCCACAATCCTCATCCCTCATGACCATTCCAGACTCAAACCCGCTTGGAGAGGAGCAATGGAGGGAGTTTGGACAGGGCCAGTGGAGGATTTGAGGGGAGGCTGTTCAATAGCGAGGATGATAGTAGTCCCCTGAAGGAGAGGGGAAGACACTCTTAAACAATACACAACGAGACTCTTCGCTTCTCGCCAGGCGTAAACTCATACAGTATGGGAGCAGGCCCTTCGGCCCAAATAGTCCATGCCGACCGTATTCCCAAACCAATCTAGTCCCATTTGGCCCATAACCCTCTAAACCCTTCCTATTCATGTACCCATCCAGATGCCAGATAACTGTACCAGCCTCCACCACTTCCTCTGGCAGCTCATTCCATACAAACACCACCCTCTGTGTGAAAAAGTTGCCTCTCAGATCCCTTTTATATCTCCCCGCTATCACCTTAAATCAATACCCTCTCATTTTGTCCTCCCCCACCCCAGGGAAAAGACCTGGGCACCTCTTCCATCAGGCGGTAGATATAAAAGATTGAAAACACTGTTTGTACAGATTCAAGAACAGCTTCTTCCCTCCTGCTATCAGGCTTTCAAACTGACCTCTCAAATGTCAATGTTTACCTTACTCTGCACCTTCTCTGCAGCTGTAACACTGTATACAGCCCTCTGTCCTGCTACCCTGATGCATTTTGTATGGTACAGCTGCCTCTGTAGCGCGCAAAACAACAACATTTCACTGTATCTCGATACATGTCAGAACAACAAATCAAACTCAATACCTATCCATGCCCCTCATGATTTTATAAACCTCTATAAGGTGACCCCTCAGCCTCCGACACTCCAAGATAGACTGCCCCAGGCTATCGCAGCCTCTCCTTATATCTCAAAACTTCCAACTGCCAGGGAAGGAGAGAATGATGATGATTCAGAGATTGTGAATGGTGTACTATCTCCCATAACTTGACCTCATCAGCTGCAACAGGCCTGGGGAGAGCTGCGGTAAATGGGACAGACAGAGATGTGATTATAAAAACTGCGTATACCTGTCTCGCTGTTTGAAGGATTCTTGGTGCAACTGACAGAATCTCCAGCGATGATCTGCAAAAGGAAATGAGAGAGAGAGCAGTTGTTCCAGGAGTGAGTGACAAACTGGAATCTAACCGAGGGGTTCAGGGTGGGTTATATACAGAATAACAGATACCCGGGAG